AAAAAATATATATATATATATATATATATAATTTCACGGTACTTTTGAGGATAATCAACGGGCAGGGGAAAGGGGAAGCAATTCAGAGTTTGAAGCCCCCAAAATTATATGCAAAATGTTGAATGTGACTTTTAAAGAGAAGATTCCTACCTTTTATCACTTTCAAAGAGGTACAAGACCCCAAAAAGGACAAGGCTCTCTGCCAGTGACTCATCTGATTTCCAAAGGAAGAATAAATGGTATAGAAGAGAAATTCTGTACAAACAATTTTAGGAACTAAATGTCAGGTTGAAGTATATAAACTCAACCACCTAGATAAAAATAACAACTGTTTGCTGAAGCAAACGTATGGCAATTTCACATAAACAATGAAGAAAATACAGTAAGAAATCCTGAGAAATGGCTTGTGGTGCCTGAAAACATATTTAAGGACCAGATGATAGACTGGGAATCCAGACGTTCAGCAGAAACTGGCTCCAAATCCCAAAGGAAAAGAAAAGTGGACTCAACCAGTGGCTTCAGTGGTCCAATGGGCTTTTGAAGCTTTGAAGAAGCCCTGTTGGTTTTCTCTTTCGCATCCTAGATTTTAAGGCATTGGGGATGCTTGAAAATGTGGTCGAGAAAGCAAATAAAAATTCCCAAAGCTTTTTCTATAAATTTATATGAGGTAACCACTCTGGGGACACTGGATTCCACAATAAGTTTACAAAATTCTGGCAAGCCTAGACATTACTTAAAAACAGATGCGGTACTTTTATCTCAAAACAACTCATCACCCACTGGTTGGGCTGATTAGATTCCTCTACAACACTTGCTCCTAAGAAGTATGTTTAAGGCAAAAATCTTATTCCTCAGCCTAAGGGCGTATGGGCCTGGTTCTAGAGTCTTCCTACTTTATGATCCAGAACCAGCAGCATTTAAATAGCATCACTGAGCTCTTGTTAAAAATGCAGAATCTCAGCCGGGCTTGGTGGCTCAGCCTGTAATCCCGTGCCTTTGGGAGGCTGAGGTGAGTGGATTGCCTGAGCCCGCGGGTTCGAGACCCGCCTGGGCAGGCGAGACCTCATCTCTACAATAAATCAAAAAATCAGCCGGGTGTGGTAGCGCATGCCTATAATTCTGGCTACTTGGAAGGCTGAGGCAGAAGGATCGCCGGAGCCCAGCAGGTCGAGGCTGCGGTGGCCGGGAGAGGCCACTGCACTCCAGTCTGGGCGACAGAGTGAGACTCCAACTCAAAAAAAAAAAAAAAAATGCAGAATCTCAAACAGTCCCAGACCTACTGATCCATAACCTGCATTTTAACAGGATCTCCAAGTGATTCCTGAGTACATCAAAGCTGAGAAGCATTGTCCTAAGTAACTCCTGCCATGAAAATACTGACTCATGAGGCTATCAAGTTATGATGAGTTTACAGAACATAACTACAGAAAGCTGGAACACTAAAACAACTGCCAAGGATTTTGACTAGTAGAAATGTCGTAGCTCAGGTGGTCAATATGCTGAACAAGATAATTTTTCTTTTTCATTTTTCTTTTTTTAAACCTAAGGATAAAGAAAAAATGTCTAAGATTCACTTACCCATTGATAGATGTTCTAGACATAAACAGGCTAAAAACAGATGACACAAAAGAATGATATAATTGAATAAATAGCCAGCCCGATTTCTCAATGCTGTTGTTTAAGAAGATCTGTGTTCCTTGATCAAGGTAACTCTGAACAAAGACAGCCTGGAGTGATTCGCATAATTTTTCTCGGTTGCACACATACCACTAAAAAAAAAAAAAAAAAAGAACAAAAATCAAAACACACAACTGAGTGTCACCTAAGAAACCCAAAAGCAAAAAACAGAACACCATATCAAACCTAACATTTCCAAATATTGTCATTTCATGGTACTTTTGAGGATAATCATCATCACTTATATTCATATGACCTGTAAAGTATAAACTATTTCTTCAGACCTGATATCTCATTAATTATCTTAACAGCCCTCAAGGTAGGTAGAAAGGGTAAGGGGAGGGCAAAGATGCTTTTGAGTCCTTCAGCTTAGCAGGTGTCAGAACCAGACCACAAGCCCTGGCCCAATGCTTCAGTCATTATACCGCTGAGATCTAAAAAAGCTCTGTTGGCCTCTGCTTCACTAACATTCAACATTAGAAGGCAAACAGTTAGTATTAACCCTGTTGCTGGATAAGAAAACAGTCACACAATACAATCACTTAACTCAAAACCACCAAGTCCAAATGACAGAGTAAGCAGTAAAAGTTAACACTCCAGCCGGGCTCGGTGGCTCAGCCTGTAATCCTGCACCTTTGGGAGGCTGAGGTGAGTGGACTGCCTGAACCCGCGGGTTCGAGACCCGCCTGGGCAGTGAGACCTCATCTCTACAATGAAATCAAAAAATCAGCCGGGCGTGGTAGCACATGCCTGTAATTCCAGCTACTCGGAAGGCTGAGGCGGAAGGATCGCTGGAGCCCAGTAGGCGAGGCTGCAGTGGCCGGGAGCGGTCACTGCACTCCAATCTGGGCAACCGAGTGAGACTCCAACTCAAAAAAAAAAGTTAACACTCCAGTGACCAGATCAAATTGCCTTTCTTCTTGTAGGATATATAGAAGAGACCCTTCGAAATCTTGAAGTGTGCTTTACAAACAGGTTATATGATATTCTTAAAGATGGGGCAAAATGTGCTCATGAAAGCTTGAGAAGTTACTTAAAGTCATACTGCAATCAATGACAAGACAAAGTAAGAACACGCTAAGAACTATATTTCCAGGAATAAGCTCTAACAAGAATGTACTTTTTAGAACAAAATTCAATAACTCCAAGTACAGATGAAATTTACTCTTCCATCATAAATTTTTTCATTTTTACTTAGAGTTAGCATGCCAGAGATGTGGGGAAGTAGGCTGTACATCAGTTTTAGAGTCAGTCCCAGAATCAAGCCCTGGCTCTGCCACCGCTATGTGCACTCAGACAAATCACTTAATCTTTGAGTCTCTAGTCATTCTTTTGTAGACTAGAGATGTCACCGGTATCTACCTATTCTGGCAGAGCACTATGAGGATTAAGCAAGATAATGCAGGCAAGACCTTAACATAGCACAAAGCACATAGTGAGAATTCCATAATAATAATAGCATGAGATTCATCTAACATGGCCTGATAAATAAGAATAAGCCCATCAAGCACAGTGACAAAACTTTAGAGTAGACCAGTTGCTATTAATCCATTATCTATGAAGCAACCAATTTTTCCCAATAAGAAGTCTATTAGCCAAGAGTTAACTTGCTTCCCCTGACAAATATGACCATTTATCAGCAGCAGGTGTCCTGTAAGCTCTTGCACAATTGGTCAACCAATTTTACGGTCATCCTAAGCTTGCTAAATGTTCAGTAAAATATTGGGTAACATTCTTGACACTAACATTAAAAGGAACCTGTTATAAATCAACAAAATAAACAGGTACATTAAATTTCAAAAACTATTTTACAAACCCTGTACCCTAAACTGGATAAACCAAACCTTTCCAGTTGTTGGCTGATTTGTGCTAATTTGTCACTTAACCATTTTTCTAAAATTTTTTTTAAAAATTTTTTTGAGTCAGAGACTCACTCTGGAGTGTAGTGGCGTGATCATGGTTCACCACAGTCTCAACCTACCAGGCTCAGGCGATCCTCTCTCCTAAGCCTCCCAAGTAGCTGGGACTACAGGCATGCATCACCATGCCAGCCAACTTTTAAATTATTTGGTGGCTCACGCCTATAATCCCAGCACTTTGGGAGGCCGAGATAAGAGGAGTGCCTAAACCCAGGAGTTGGAGACTGGCCCGGGCAACCTGGCGAGATCTCATATCTACAATAAATCAAAAAATTAGCCAGGTGTGGCAGCACATGCCTGTAGTTCCAGTTACTTGGAAGGCTGAGGCATAAGGATCACCTGAGCCCAGCAGGTGGAGGCTGCAGTGGCTGTGAGTGTGCCACTGCACTCCAGCCTGGACAACAGAGTGAGACTGCCACTCAAAAAAAAAAAAAGTTATTTGTAGAGACAAAGTCTCATTGTGTTACCCAGGCTGGTCTAGAACTCTTGGGCTCAAGCAATCCTCCAGCCTGGGCCTCCCAAGGTGCTGAGATTACAGGTGTGAGTCACCACACCCAGCTCATGTAACATTTGTTATCAAACCTGCATAGACTTTATAGAAAACTATTTTTATTTTTCCCACCCTATATAACAAGTTATGAAACTTCCCGCATTCGCTGCCTACACTTTTTTCCCCTTGGTCTGAAAATGCTCCTGTTTAATCATTTACTAATTCTGAATACTTACTGTGCCTGAAGTTATGCTCCATTGCAGGTCATAAACCATTTTTTATATACTTGTGACCTCCTGGTGCACGTTCTGAACTCTAATACTGAGGCCACTCTGACTTGTATTTATGTTGTATTCTCCTAAATGACTAATCAAGATGAAAGCCATCACCTTGATAACAGGCATTCATGTACATTCTATTAATGTGGACAAGAAATCATTCAAGTGAAACAGAGGAGCTAAGAATTCCTTGGCATCCACTTATATACCAACAACTAGAACAACAATGGACTCTGACTTCTAGAACTAAGCAAAACCTGGCACTATTCACCGCAAATACTGCTTTTAAGTGCCAAAAGGAAAAGTCAAGTCTTAATAGTATTTCTCTCCATTTATCAACATTAACACATGGTTGAACCTTTAATGTCATAGAAATCTTTCAGAAAGGAAACTGCTTATTGAATAGAATGTACTATAGAACAAAAAGGAGCAAAGCTTTTCTCTTTCAAGAGAAAGGCTGAAATGTATGCCCTTCCTGATCATTTGCATGATACAAATGTCAACTCCATAGCAGCATTATTCATAATTGCCAAAAGGAGGAAACAATCCAAATGTCCATCAACTGATGGATAAATAAGATCTATACAACAAAATAGTATACTCTGCCATAGAAGTACTGATTCATGCTCCAACATAGATAAACTTTGACAACATTATGCTAAGTGAAATAAGTCAGTCATAAAAGGTCACATGTGGTATAATTCCATTTATATGACATGTCTAAAATATGCAAATCCAGAGACAGAAAGTAGACTGTGGTTGCTGGGGATGGGGACACAGACAAAGGGGAGCAACTACTAATGAGTATGGAGTTTCTTTTTGGGATGATGAAATGCTCCAAAATTTGATAGTGATGGCTGTACAACTCTGTGATTATACTAATAACCAATGAATTGCACTTTTTTTTTTTTTTTTTTTTTTGGAGTTGGCGTCTCACTCCTTTGCCCAGGTTGGAGTGCAGTGGCACACTTGTGGCCAACCCAGCATCGACCTTCTGGGGTCCAGCAATCCTTCCGCCTCAGCCTTCCAAGTAGCCGGAACTACAGGCGCACACTACCACGCCTAGCTATTTTTAATTTTATTGTAGAGACGAGGTCGTGCCAGGTTGCCAGGGCTGGTCTTAAACCCGCGGGCTCAGGCAATTCACTTGTCTCAGTCTCCCAAAATGCTGGGATTACAGGCTGAGCCACCAAGCCCAGTCAAACTGTACTCTTTAAAAGGATAAATCTTATGGTATGTGAATTATATCTCAATAAAGCTGTTTTTTTTAAACACATGCACATATATAAAGTCAAGTGGTATTTGACCTTCCACAAATTATAAGTGGTTTGAAAACATAAATAAACTAGTAAACCTCTTTAAAGATGCAAATTTTTAAATGCAAATCTGACCACACCACTACCCTGCTTAACAGGAGTCTTAGGATAATATCCAAAATGCTCCAAATGGCTTATAAGACCCATTCTGCGAAAAAATATTTGCCAACTGTATATCTGAGAAAGGCCTAGCATCTAGGATCTACAAGGAACTCAAATGCACTGAAAGGAAAAAAGCAAACAGCCCCTTTAAAAAGTGGGCAAAAGACATGAATAGACACTTCTCAAAAGAAAATATACGGGTAGCCAATAGACACATGAAAAAGTGCTCAGCCTTACTCATCATCAGAGATGATGATCCCTGTAAGATGATCCCACCTAATCCCTGTAAGAATGGCCATCATTAATAAAACAAACAACAACAGATGCTGGCAAGGATGTGGAGAAAAAGGAACACTTCTACACTGCTGGTGGGAATACATACTAGCACAACCTCTTTGGAAGACAGTGTGGCGATTTCTGAAAGAACTAGAAATTGACCTTCCATCTGACCCAGCAATTCCCCTATTGGGAATATACCCAGAGGAACTCAAATTATTCTACAAAAAAGATACCTGCACATGTATGTTTGCTGCAGCTCTGACTTCACAATAGCAAAAACATGGAACCAACTGTGTTGCCCGTCGAAGCTGGACTGGATAAAAAAAAAATGTTGTACATATACACAATGGAATATTATGCAGTCATAAAGAAGGACAAATATATGGACTTTGTAGCAACTTGGATGAATTTGAAATCAATCATACTCAGTGATCTATCACACTAACATAGAACAGAGTTCCATATGTTCTCACTCATAAGCGGACCTTGAACAATTATAATGCTATAAGAAAGCGACTGGCATTAGTGGAAAACTGTCAGGGGAGGGGGTGTGGGATTGGCAGTTGAGGGAAACTGCTAGGGGAGGGAGGGGCATACCTCATCAGCAAGGATACCTGCATGATCAATGTTTATATACCTAAGCCTGAATTGTACCCCAAATCTTGTAATAAAAATTTTTTTTAAAAGGACCCATTCTGTGTCCACAGCCTCACCACATGACATTCCCTACCAACCCATGAACTCTAGTCCCTCACGATGTCATAGTACTCTACCCTTCTTTCTTCTTCTAGAAAGCTGCTTTCCCATGGCTGTCTCACATAGTATTTGCTCTGCCCCCTACACTTCTCACCACCAACTCTCTCTTCTCTTCACCTGGTTAATTCAATGTCAGCCTAAATATTGCGAGACATATTTTTCCCGGAGCTTCTGGACTAGGTTAGGCCCTCTGTTCCAGTACCTGTTTATGCACCCCATTAGTCTCCTTGGTAGCATTTATGACCTCTGAATTGATTGATAACTGTATACAACTGCATGTTCAGTGTCTATCTTCCCAGGCAGACTGAGAGCTTCACAAAGGCAATGAAAACAAATGTGCTTGGCACAGATATAGATGAACAATAAGTGTTCATCAAATGAATTATTGTTAGGAATCACAGTAAATCTGACCAGATAGAATCTGGAGTTTCTACCAAAATCCTGGAGGGAACATAAGGTTAACCACAGAGACAACTACCACTGGGTTTCTGACAGTTTCTCAAACTCCAAAGTTTTCTGCAAGGCCTTGCTTAAACCCGATTCTGCAAACAGTGGTTGAAGCTACCCATCTACCACAAAATTGCATTACTGCAAGCAGGCAGCAAGCAATGAAGGAAGACTAACTGAGCACCTACCATGCACCAGGCACTTAGCCAAGTACTCTGCGTGTCAATTACCACCTTACAACTTCTGAACAAATGGGAAGCCTGTAGTCCCTAAGCAGCTTCAGCTGATTCGAGTTCCTGTTCCAGGCACACATTTTTAGAAGAGCTTCTTTCAAAGTCACTTCTCTTCACTTAACTCTACCCAGTGTGTCTACTAGAGAAAAGAATGCAGGACTATACTGCCAATTAAACTGAACTGTAACTAAATTCCTATAAGCCGGGGTCTCTCAGCCTTTACACTATAGGCATTTGGAATTGTTTGTTACAGGAGCCGACCTGTGTATTGTAGGATGTTTACCAGCATCCCTGGCCTTTATCCATCAGATGCCAGTAGCAATACCCCAAGTGACAACCCAAAATGTCTCAGGCATTGTCAAATGTCTCCTGGGGTGCAAAATTGCCAGTGCTTTAGAACTCCCTTACCCAGGAAATTTCATTGTTCTGACTCCCCAGCAGTGTTTCCCAAGTATCTATCTTAACTATGATCTAGTGACATCTGCTGATTAAATTAAAAGATAGGCTCACTGGCCCCAGGAAACTTGCATTCCAGAGAAGAAAATAAAATCAGAAACTAAGAGAAATAAGTAATGAGACTATGCTCTTGGCCAGGACCTTCAGAGCTTTAAAAGAACAGTCACCCTGCCCTTAAGGTGAAATGCCAACTAAAGAGAAAATCAGTGCAGGAGCCCCTGAGCCCAATGGGCAGGCCACCTGTCGTTATCTCTCTCTAGACAACCCAGCTTAGATGAAAAGCTCTGCTGAGCTCACAGCACTGGGTGGCCTGTCTGTAGGCTTCTGTGCACATTCAAGTAGGTGAGTTTTTTGAATGTGTGAGCTCCTCAAAGACTACAGAGACAAAAGTGGCACAGGCAAGAACAAAGTACTCTGCTTGTTAAATTGTCACACTGAAAGGACTGTGTGCCCGCTCTCCAGTGGGGCTGGACTCCTCAGCTGGAGACTACAGTGTCTGAAAAAGTGTCTTATTAGCATCTGCCTTTAAAGCTCACTTAAATTTTGTTCAGTCTAAATAACCAAGGAAATCTTTTATTTTTTTTCCTTTTTTTTTGAGTCAAGGTCTCATTCTGTCGTCCAGGCTGGAGTGCAGTGGCATGATCACAGCTCACCGCAGTTTCAGTCTACTGGGCTCAGGCAATCCTCTCACCTCAGTTTCCCAAGTAGCTGGGACTACAGGTATGCACCACCATGCCTGGCTAAGTTTTTTATTTTTTGTAGAGACAAAGTCTCACTATGTTGCCCAGGCTAGTCTCAGACTCCTGGCCTCCCACCTTGGCCTCCCAAAATGCTGAGATTACAGGCAGGAGCCACTGTGCCCGGCCCCAAGGAAATCTTTTCGTTAGCAAACTCTAATCCAACTAGAATTATTCCATTCAGTCATTTGCTGATGCCAAGTATAAAGCAGGATGTCACAGCATAACATCTAAAAATTATAGTAAACAGCAATATTATCTCTACTTGCAACAAGACTGCAAAGATACTAATTAGCCAAATAATAAACAGCCAAGTCAAGAGGACAGCAGGCATTCTTGATAATCTGTTTGATAGTACTTGATAATCAAAGTAATGAAATAGTAGATCATGTTGTCTTTTTTTTTTTGAGTTGGAGTCTCACTCTGTCACCCAGACTGGAGTGCAGTGGCCGCTCCCGGCCACTACAGCCTCGACCTGCTGGGCTCCGGCAATCCTTCTGCCTCAGCCTTCCAAGTAGCTGGAACTACAGGCATGCGCTACCACGCCCAGCTAATTTTTTGATTTATTGTAGAGATGAGGTATCGCCAAGTTGCCCAGGTGGGTCTCGAACCCGCGGGCTCAGGCAATTCACTTACCTCGGCCTCCCAAAGCGTGGGATTACAGGCTGAGCCACTGAGCCCGGCTCATGTTGTCTTTAAAAAAATTTCCATATGAAGCCCATGAATATCTCCTAACATTTACATAATCTTGGTTGATGATCACTCCTTCAAAGTAGGGATGTAATTTTCCTATAAAAATATATTTGCTTAACAAGCTGAGGGATACAGTTAAAAGGCTTTCTGAAACTATTTTTTGGAGTTTAGTCAAACGTGATATAGTCTTCTGTCCAAAATATAAAAGATTTGAGCACACTAGTAAAATCAAAAAGTTATTTTTTTAAAATTACTGATTTTAGATAATGCAGTATCACCAAAAATAAATATTTGGTCTTTATCCCAGGTTCCTGACAAATTTCCTAAAACTCTTGGAGAAACTAAAACCCTTGGGGGAATCCCCACAGTGGTAAAAAGTATCTTTGTAACCTATACAACACCCAGCACCTGGATGCTTCGGGTGGGGACCAAGCCTTGATCAGAGGAGTGGAATTTTCAGTCCCCTCCCTCAATCTCCAAGGATGGGAAAGAGGTTAAAGACTGAGTTCAGTCAACAATAGCCAATAATTTCATCAGTCATGCCTACATAACGAAACCTCATAAAAACCCTTAACCTACAGGGTTCTGGGAGCTTCTGGGTTGCTAAATACAGTGATAATGCTGGCAGGGCGGCTCACCAGAGGACATGGAAGCTCTGCACCATCCCCCATACCTTGCCCTATGCATCTCTTCCACTTGATCATTCCCGGGTATCATATCCTTTATAAGTAACCAATAAACACAAGTATAGGGCTTTCCTAAATTCTGTGAGTCATTCTAGTAAATTATCAAGTCAGTGGTAGGAGTGAGCTGTAGGAATCCCCAGATTTGTAGCCAAGTTGAACAAAAGCACTGGCAGCCTAGTGACCTGGGGCTTATAGCTGGCCTCTGATGTGAGGATAGTCTTGCAGGACCTAAGCCTTCAATGCTGTGAAGTCTGACCCTAACCACAGGTAGTTAGTGTCAGAATAGGATTACATTGTAGGACACCCAATTGGTGATGGGAAATTAGAGAATTGGCTGATATCAGAAAAAAACATAGCAGGTAAGTTCTTTTTTCAACTTTAAGCTTTACAAAAAAGCATAGACAAACTGGATCAAAGCCAGAGCTTCAAGCAGTTGTCCCATCCTCATCCAACTCACAATCTGCAAAATTCTCAACTAATATTGTGCACACAGCAAACCTAACTTTAGTGTCTACACACAGACCCATTAGAACTGGGACAGTTTCCTATAAAGAAGGTTAGGCCTATTTTCACCACTCTCAAACAGCACAAGGTTTACTAGGAAGGCCTTCATGAAGCAGGAGGAAAAATATGGGCCTCGAAACACAGTTTAGTTTAAAACTCAACTCTGTCATCCAGTGTGTGTTCTTGAGCAAGCCTTAACACTCAGCCTCAATCTTCGGTCTGTGAAATGGAGATTGCACCACTACCATCAAAGAGCTATTACAGGGATCCCAGAGAATAATATATTTAGTGTCTGGCAGACAACAGAAGCCCAATAACTGTTCATATTTCCTTCCTCTTCCTGTCCAAGGGAAAGGCTGGTCAGAGGAGAAGAGCAATTCAAGGGAATGCCTAAAAACCACACTGCAGCTCTGGGCACCCGGCCATTCTCAAAAGAAATGGGTAACCAAAGACCTGAGGCATTCAGTGCCACCAAAAACAATCAAAAAGGCTCCACTGCTGGGGTTCCTGAACACAGATTCTTTTCTACTACAGGGGGTGGTCAGACCAAGTCAGTTGACCATTGCTTGACAACTAAGAATTCAAAAACCACATCCTAAGATTCTCCAATGCAACCAAATCACTCCAGACATTTCACCACTGACCCCTTCTAACATCTAAGCACAGCACAGGAGTAAATATTCAAATCATTCACCATCTTTTCTACAAATGATATAAACCAAACCCAATAACCTCTTTATGTGAGATTTCAATGTGTAGAGTGACAGGCACCCTCACATTCATGGGAGGAAATGATTTACACAAATTAGATTAAGTTGCTTGAGCTTTGATTTAATAAAATTAGTGGCACTCCTCAACTCACTCGATGGATAATCCGTGTGTGTGTGTGTGTGTGTGTGTGTGTGTGTGTGTGTGTGTGTGTGTATGTGTGTGTGGGTGTGTT